AAAAAAAAAAAAAACTTAACAGAGCAAATTTTTATAGAAAATAGAATGATGAGGCTATAATGATGACTTATAAAATTAAAAAAAAATAGAAAAGTGTTTGCAGGTTTCCAACATAAGAATGATAACAAATTGAGAAGATGGAAATTGCCCTGATTTGATCACAACACACTCTACACACATCTATGCTAGGTCTCATATCTAAGTACAAAGAGCAGATTCCAATTTAAAATTAAAATAAAGAATAAACACTTTGATATTTTAACCTACTTTCTACAGATTTTTAAATAATAGCACATGTTCATAAATATTTTATATTTCTGCTTTCTCTTTTATCTTGGGTTATATATAGATCTATATGTACTACAAAGCCATTTGGCCACACATGCATGATTTTGTGATGATTGGTATTTTTCAATATATGGCTGGAAATGATTTAAAATACATACGTACTACTATTTCAAACCCTTGAATTAAAGCACAAACATGCCTTGTATAGAGAAACTTCCATTGGTAGATCAACATCAAATTTTCAGTATCAAGTTTATGCTTAGGTGTCTGAAATGAAAAATTGCTTACTTCTTTGAGATGATAATCAAGACTTTTTTAAAGGTCCATTCTTCAGGCTTTGTTCAGATGATTTATTTAATGAGAACCTTACAAGGAAAGAACTTATATAAAAATACATGCATAAAAGAAATATGAGAATGCCATAAATTTCAGCGACTTAACAGAAAGTGAAAATATTTACTTATATTAAAAGAAAAAATCCACTACTGAATAACTAAGCATTTGCCATCCTTGCCCCACAGGGATGTTAAGAACCTCATCATTTGTTTCTTGGTGCTGATTAGCACCAAAGGACTCAGTGTGGCATAGCCATTGCCCACCAGCATCTGGACACAATAACGAACTGGATCACTGTTCCATGACATTGCAGAAGAGGAGGAGACAGCAAAGTCACAAAAGTACATAATCACAAAGAGACCCATGAGCAGCAGGATGGTTCTTGTGGCCCTCTGTTCTGGGGATGCTTTTGGAGACAGGCTGGTATTGTGAAGGTGCTGGCACTGCCTCGTATGCCTGCACAAGAGGGTCACCATGTACCCACTGGAGAGGGCCATGAGTCCTATAAGGAAGACATCCTGGAAGGTCACGAGAGAGAAATACATATACCTGAGCAAGTAATTTGTAGACAAAAGAGAGCAGGACTTAGTAACAAACATGAGACTGTGTGTGGTGATATTGGGAGTGGCAACAATAGAGATCAAGAAGCGACCACTGATGAGCATATTAAAGACCCACAAGAAGGAAAAGCAGCAGAGGCTCTGAGGTGAGGAGCTACACTTGAACTTTGTCAAGCAGCAGCTTCTGGGGCTGAGGGTGACAGCCTGGAGGACACTCAGCAGGCAGGTGGTACAAAAGGACAGGCCCCTCATCAGCCTGTACAAGTAAATCACTGACTTACATATTATGTCATCCCTTAAAC